TTTAAGACTTATTTCTAGACAGTATTTTCAGTGAATAATTAGAATATATGACCAGTATAATTAAAACATGAAAAAAAAGTTAAACTTGTCAGTTACAATCATTCACTACTAAGATTGATATATATGTGTTTATTTTTTTAATTTAGACAATTATTAGTGACAACTAATAAAACCTTAAATTCAGCATCTCAGAAAATCTGAATATTGTGCAAAGGTTTTATAATGAAGAAACCTGGTGCCACACGCTAACCAGCTAATTAACTCAAAACACCTGCGAAGGTCTTTAGAGGGTCTCTTAGTGTAGTTCTGTTGGATACGCGACCGTTGGGGAGACTGCTGTCCTCACAGTGCTGCAAAAGACAACCATTGACACCACAAGGAGGGCGAGACACAAAAGGTCATTGCTAAAGGGTCCAGCAATGGGGATAATCACACCCTGGAGAGGATTGTGAAACAATGTGGGGAGATTCACAAAGAGACTGCAGCTGGAGCTGGTGTTTTAAGGAGCGCCACGCCGTAAGACATGGGTCTCAGCTGCCGCAGTCCTTGTGTAAAGCCACTCGTAAGCAAGAGGCTGCATCTAAAGCGTCTCACCTGGTTTAAAGACAAAGAGGACAGAGCTGCTGCTGAGTGGTCCAAAGTTATGTTCTCTGATTTGGGTAAATCCAACGGTTTGTTTTGGAAATCTAGGTCACAGCCTGGAGAAGGAGATAAGAGGCGCAGGATCCACGTTGTTTGAGGTGTAATGTAAAGTCTCCACAGTCAGGTTTGGTTTGGGATGCCGTGACATCTGCTGGTGTTGGTCCAATCTGTTTTCTGAGGTCTAAGATTAACGCAGCCGTCTATCAGGACATGGTTCCTGTAGAGGACCAACTTTATGGAGACGCACATGTCATCTTCCAATAGGACGTGTTACAGGTTTAGTTGAAGGACCATGGTATAACTGAAGTTGTAAACCTGCCTGACTTTAAATCCATAGAAAATCTATATATTATTGTGGAGAGGAAGATGCAATATGTCAGACCAAACAATGCAGGAGAGCAATCTGGGCTCTTATAGCACCGGAGCCACACAGCATTGGCGCAGTAATCAGGCATGGAGACTACTTCCTGGAAATCCTTGAGTAATATTCTGATTTTCTGAGAGAATGAATTTAGGGTTTTCATCAATTAGTTATAATCCATCCATCGTCTCAGGCTTAGTCCTTGTCAGGGTCAGAGTGGCACCGGTGCCTATCTCCGGCAGTATATGGGCGAGAGGCAGGGTACACCCTGGACAGGTCGCTAGTCTGTCACAAGGCCGCACAGAGACACACAACCATTCACACACACTAAGAAGAATTTAGAGGTTTTATGGACTGTGGGACAAAGCTGGAGTACCTGGAGAGAACCCACGCATGCACAGGGAGAACATGCAACATGCACATGCAGAAAGACCCCTGACTAGGAATTGAACCCGGAACTTTCTTGCTGCGCACTGTTTCGCCGTGCAGCCCTTAGTTATAATCATCTACTTAAAATAAATGAAAACTTAAAATATACCTGTATGTGAGTAATGAATGACTGATATGCAGAACTGGAATTACTGAAAAAATTTACTTTCTTTTTATGATATTCTAATTATATAATCAGCACCTATATATAGACAGTTCCATCTATTATCAGCTCATTTTCTTTTTCATGTTCCTCTGTCCCACCATGTTTGAAAAAGAGAAAGACATCATAAATAATCCATCTGAAAAGTCTGAGAGTTTTCTCTGTTGAATATTAATATATATATCTATATATAGATAGATATATATAATGCATAATGATGGTCTGTGAATAACAATGAGCATTGGAAGTAAATTCCATAGTAAATTTAGAGAAAAGTCCAGATATTATAAGGAAAATGTTACCAATAACAAGGGTATATAAATTAGTTATAAGATACGATTAAACGCATAGAAGGACCTTAGAGTTGACCTTTGAACTTGGACATTTAAATACCTAACTATAAATAGTTTTGCTTCTAATGAAGAGCAGATTATATTTGCTCAAATTCAGTTCACTGAGTGAAAACATCAGGTGAGAAGTATGAGATCACGGCAGGAAGATGATGTGAGGAAGAAGTGATAAAGAACGATTATTATGGAGAGTCATAACAATTTATGGAGCAAATTCCTGCGGTGAAAATTGATGTGCTGTGATCTCCGCAGCTCAGTGTGTGTGTGCCCACCATCTATTGTCCTGTCTCACTAATCACAGCAGCTCGAGGCTTCATTTAATCAGCGCAGCGCGGCGCAGCGTCCCGTAATAACTTATCAACAGTCGCAGCTTATAGATTAAGGTTTAATTGCTAAAATGCTGCTGTGCTTCTTGTAATGTAAAACAAAAGGGACGGTGGACAGTAAAATTACCTGTTTTCCAAATAATCACAGTTTTAGGATTAGGACTTATTGTTGAATAATTAAAGCCATAAGTTTAACCGTTAATTTTCTTTTTTTTTTTATAAGCAGTGATGGATTTGAAACAATGCTTGTTCCACAGCAGGTTTCAGATTTTACAGGCTGGTTATCACATAAAGTTTGCATGTTAATCAGATCTAAATCTTTTTCCACTGCGCCATGAACTGTCATGTCATGTGCATCCCAGATGGGAGAAAGTAATCAGTGTGTGAAACTAGAAAGTGCTGCAAGACCCTCTTCAAAGGAGGAACGGTCCTCCGGATTGGAATGTGATGCATTTTAATAGAAGACGCTGTTGAAAATGTTTTATCCTTTTCTGCTGTTCCTTGTTGAGAAGCACAATGATTGTCGTGTCAGAGATGGATTTTATTCAAATCGCTGCACGTTTTCGCTGGATGCTTTGAAGCTGCTACTGGAGTGAGACCGATTCTGAAATTCCAAAAATGTTTATCTGCATAAATCAAATATGGCTTAAATTTTTAAGATGAGTTTTGATTTTGTTTTTTATGATAATGAATGAATTTCTTTTTACATGACAAAATCAAAGTTTCACTTTTTATTGTTGGTTTAATTCACGAACTAAACGCTTAGTTCCGACAGGGAAGCAGATTATTTCTTTTTCCACGAAATTCTTGAAGATTTTTATAGATCACTGCAGTTGGATTGGTCTCTTTCATAGAAATGCATTGCTGTTGCACATTTCCTTGAAATTATATTAAAGCTCTTCTCTTAAGTCGCTTTTTATTGTTATCTTAATGACAATTTGCAACACTTCAACAGGCATCTAGATCTTAGTTCATTCAAGTAATGCTGAGGAAGCTCAAATATTCCTCTGGGTTTGCTGGATTGTTTTGCTGTTGCTTAGCAGCGGTGACCAGTTGCTCTGCTGCTAATTAGTGATTATTTCCAGATGACATTTCTGTGTTTGTTTAAACTGTAAATTGTTTTAAAATCCCTTTGATGATCTTTGCAGCAAAGCATTAGTATGCCGGGTGCCATAAAAAAATATTTTTACTAAAAAGCTGATTGAGCACTACTGTGGACTCGGATTTGGGCCAAGTACGGCACCAATAGATCTAACTTTGTAACGTTTTAAAATGAAAATGTGAGTCTGTGCAGCAGCAGAAATGGTTTGTATCTTTGACTCATCTTTTATTGAAACAAAACAGGAAAAAAGTCTACAACTCTGCCTCGCTCTGCATGTGCCCTTTGTGCCACAGATGCAAATTCTGCTAAATTGGTGCTCAATCTTTTCCTGTCAAACATAATAGCAACCAATCAAACTTGCCAGTAAGGAGAGAGTTGCATTCAAAGTCTGCAGGAAATAAGAGTTGTACTCTGAGTTTTGCGCCTTTTTTTCCCCTCTTCTTCACTGATCAACCTTTTTTGATTTCGAGTTTTCTTTGAGATGTGAGCTGCCGATTTAAATTTAGACCATTTCTGATTTTTAGGGGGTTCACAGAGGAAACGTGCTGCAGGCTCTTTGATAGCAGCAGTAGTTTGAATCTAATAGAATAATAATCAGATTTTTTTATTTAACCGATAAAAGGCGTTACAAAGCGCATATCGTTGATGCACTTATAGCTTGAAAAATACCTGGCATGTCAAGCATAAGAAGAAAATGTATCTAATAATTTGATTTGTCAGGGACGTTGACTGATTGAAGCTTCTGTCAGGATCTACTTGTACAGAATTTAATCAAACTCATTTTTAAGCTTGAAAAGGTTCAGCGCCATATAGATTATAAGGCAATTCTACCAAACATTTAAGAAATAAACCACTAAATATGAATGAAGGTAAAATGCATTTTTTCTGTGCTTAAATAGGGAAGAAAATGTTTGATTTTAACATCAGAGTGAAAAATAAATGAGTGCATCTGTAAACATTGAAGTTAAAACTATAATTTCCTGGTCACTACAAATACATTTATTTTCATAAGTTGAACAAACTGATTTCTAGGATTTTTTTTATACGTTATATTGCATTAAATTAAACAATTCTTGTTAAAATTTTTGACCAAAACCACAAAATAAAAAGCAAACAGAATTATAAAACCTTTTAAATGTTATATTTGAATCATTAAATAGCACAGTTATGTATTTCTGCCATTTTGAAATCCTCATTCACCAACAGTAATCTGAAAATTATATATTATTAAAGAAAAAAGTACCTAAATCACTGGTTTGATGTAGATTGTGATTCTCAAACGTTTTACCTTCTTTTTGAAAAAGAATTTGATGTGAAATACCATAAATGAACTCTTCCATATATGGATGAATGTCATGATCTATTGTCCTGTTTCTACAAACTGAGGTTTTTTTTGGCTCTGATTTAGTTTAATTCAAACAAAACACATCTTTGAACATCAAACCACCTACGTGGATTAGAACAGATTGCAGCCTCGGCGCAAACAATTGCTTTTTAATCCCTTTCTGTTCCCATATAGGATTTATTTTGTCCCATTTAAGGAAATGTTACCCTGAGTTCACATTGACATTTCCGTGTGTTGTTAAAAGATGGACACTTTTGACTGGCTTTCTTTTTCATTTTTCAGATTTTCCGCCATCGCTGCTGCTGGAAACACAGGAGGAAAGAATCTGAAGAATGGAGAAACAAAAGTTTTTTGGGTTTTTTCTTTCTTTTTTCTTTTAATTGACAGATATTGTACTGTATTATTATTTTTTAAAACCAATTCTTATCTCTTGATTGTCGCATCCAAGGTCACGCACAACGCCCTCCTCCATCCCGTCTGAGGTAACCTCCTCGGTGTTTTATTCCTGATGTTACTCCTGCAGAGAAGGAAGGGAGGGAGTCGATTTGAAGTAGGACTGGGCTTAAGAGGCGGCAGGTTTTATTAGGAGGACCCAAGAAACTAAAATCTAAAGAGCTCAAATAGATCTTCAGTTTCACAATCTGTGCAAGTAATTGAAAAACCCATCCCTTTTTAATACAGCTCATATTTATAGTTCTAGTTTTCACTGTGATTTTGTGTTTGACAAAAATATTATACAAACAAAACAAGAGACATTAGGGCTAATTAGCAACGACGAGTTTAGTGCAGAAACAGCAATGAGAGACTGATTTAAAAACCATGCAAACAATCAAGATCTGATGGCCCATTTTAGATTGTTGTTATACGTCTAAAGTTACCCATAGAGTGTAACCCTGTATGGACACGCTGTCAGGGGACACTTTGAAGGTTTACCAAGGTCTTAAACTATTATGGTTTCTAAACCTCTGATCCTACAGTTATAAGTGCTTTTAATGCTTTCCATAGGAAGTGCCTGACTTGTTTTCTCTCTTCCGTTTATTCACACTGCATCTCAGCTGGCTGAAACAACGACACCTAAAAATGAGCATGTTTTCCATCCCCCAAAAATCAAAAGATGCGATGTGGCCCAATCCGTCTCTCCTGTTAAATTACCAAAGTAGGTCTAATAAGCAGGCGACTGCAGGCTTATTGTCTGAGCTGGTTGCCGTAGAAATTATTCATTCACCATCGGATTGATGCATCTTTTTATTACACTACTTAATAAGTGCAGTAGTTGTTTGATGCATTTATATTTAGATGCCATAATGCATATTTTTTTGTAATTCTATATTTTTACCCATTTAGTTTCTGACATGCTGAGAATCACAATTCAATGAAGCCCATTTAGCTACTTAGTATCCTGCTTTGAATTCAGGCTAAACTGGATTCATGGTTGTTGAACTGAGTTTATGTAGAAAACAGAACAATGCATCTAAAATATTTTTTTTATTTATTTTTTATTTACAAAAAAATGGTACTGAAACACTTAAACTGTGATGATTTAAAGTATTTTTCTTTAGTCTACTATTTTTGTTTTAACAAGTAAAATGATGGGAAAAGTGCTAAACTGCTTCGGAAGAGATGGCAAAAAGCAGTTTAGCTGCGGCTGTGTCCTGTGCTCCGAAAATTTAAAGATGAATATTTTCTTCTCGAATGTTCAAAAAATACAAACATGGAAAAAAACAAAAAGTAAGAAATTCAATCTAAAATGAAATTTTTGGTGGTGTTCAGTGATTTTTTCGAAATGTTTACAAGTTTCCTGCCAAAGAAAACAGATAAATTGTTAAAATCTCTGAAGGAAATTTACAGATAAAATTTAAGCACACGGCTTCCATACTGATTGGGAACTCCACTTCTCTTTCTTTATGTTCAGCACTTTAATGTCCCAGACTTTATTCCAATGCGTCCCCTGATGCACATGAATAACAAATGGTGGATTTTGTGTGACAATATGGTTCAATTAGCTTAAATGTATTGTTCTCAGCAAGCTGTTGGATCACAGCTTCGTTCTTGGAGGTTTATTTTCATCCATTTCATAAAAATTCCATTTAAATAATTTTCCTTTTTTGCGATATTCAACTTTTTCTAAACCTTTACACCTATAGGACACTATCAGGTGTTTTATATTTTCTTTCTGACCTGTTTGTTTACAATCTAAACAGTGCATGTATAAGTCGAATTCTTTCATGATCCGTGCTTTACTGTAAGCCTCTTAAATGCCCCTTAAATCCCAGAACCTTTCCACGAAGTGAGCCTGTAGGAAGCAGATTAGAGCCGGCGGTTGAACTGGACCGATGGGCGGACGAAGGGACGGCTGAGGCGATGTTGTGTGTGACCTGGGTTGCTTTGGAGATGTGAGGATAATGAGGAGGAAGGTGAACCGGAGCACTGAATGTGTGCCTGCAGCAACAGTTTGACTGTACACGCCAGCCGACGGATCGACCCACGGATCGTCAGACAGGTTGGATCTGAAACAAACAAGCATGGAAAAAAAAAAAAAGACAAACAAAACAAAATCGCCATGTGCCAAAGCTGGGATCTGCTGCATTCTCACTACACTTTTGAAAAAAAAAAAAAGGGTTCTTCTTCTTCTTGTCATTGTAAATAGGTTATATATATGTTTGTTTTTGTTTTTTTCCCTGTATTGATAGATTTGTAAAATTTGCGGACAAATTTTGTTACATTTTGTAAAATGGGAGCAATTCGTCCCCCCTGACAGCCCTCCTTTTTGCTTTTTTTTAAACCCCTCTTTCGGTTTTTCTCGTCTGTTTTATGATTTCTTCTCGTTTGTTTGTTTGTTTACTTGTGACGATGGACTTTTAAACAAACATGGTGCCAGCAGTCCATGTGTGCAACTTTTATTTCTGTTCCCATCTCTCCTTCTCCTCTTTTTGTCCCGAACCAGAGTGGAACCACTATAAAAAAAAAGAAAATTATAAAAAAAAAAATCAGGAAAAAAGAAAAAGACAGACCAGTTGGCAATGCTTCAGTCACTACTTCTTCATCTGACCAGCACTGGACTTCTGCCCGCCACTTCCCCGCTGAGAAGAGGAGGAGGAGGGAGGAAGTATAAGAGAGGAGGGGAGGGGGGGCGTCGCTTCACATCAAATCAGATTTTCAAAACAAAACACAAAAAAGCACCTTTGGAACCTTTTATTTTTTTGTCTTTTTTTAATTGTGCTGAAGTGAAGTCAAGTGCTATTATTATATTATTACTATTGTTAATATTATTATTGTAGCCACTCTGTCTGCAATCTTTTTTTTTTTTTTTTTTTGGAAGAAAAGCGAAGAAAAACACACAAAAAAAAAGAAAAACAAACTTAAGCCAATCTGCACATCTTGTTCCAACGAACATATGCTTGTATGACCAAGTGACTGTCGTGGATCTTTGTTTTTAAGCGATAAGGAACAAACGACTACAAGAAAACAAGTAAAGAAAAAAAAAACCTTAAGAAGCTGTTAAAACGGTGGCAAACGCAGAAGGATTTAAAGGTAACGATCATGCAATCTACAAACTCAACAGCAAAAACTATCCAGAATCATCATGCTGCCTGAATCATACGTTATTCTTTAGTTCTTTCTCTATCTATTCTAGTCCCTTTATTTTTTCTCCTCCTTCCATCTGTTTATTTTCCGTCTTTTGACATCCCGCACACCATCATAAACACCTGTGATAAATAAAAGTAATAAAAAAAAGATGAATAGACTTTTATTCGATACATTACTACATGTTGGCTCTGTAGGCTTAGTTGAAACTAGTTCCATTCCAACAAAAAGTGCATAATAGTAAAATCAAAACTATGAGCTTCTTTATGTATTGCTTCTGCCGCTGTAGTGTTCTGGTCAGAGTAAATGATGAAAAGACTACATATATCTGAAATACTGTATTAACAAATGCAAAGCAGGGCTGGCCTCAATAGGAAAACGATGGTGATTGTCAAATCCGTCCAGGTGCGTTCTTGTTTTTGTTTGTGCAAAGCTCTTTCCTGCTTGTGTGAGTTGATAAAGGTGTTATGTTGTCTTGAATTGCTTTGTAGATCCAAATAAAACTTGTGCATCGCCTGAGCTCTCCTCCACTGTGCTGCTTGTGCAAAAAAGACTGCAGCGCTGCAGAGAGCCTCCTGGTTGATGCTCCGCCTTAGAAAGCTGACCAAGAGACTTTTATTTTTGCAACTGCATAGTTTTAGTCGAGTATTTGTCCGATTAACGATTGAATGTATTTGCTTTGAGGAGTTACATAAATGTTGTGAATGTGGGCACCCAACAACCAAAAGAAGGAAAAAAAAGCAAGACATCCTCTCTTATGCCAAAAATAACAAACAAACAAAAAAAAAGAACAAAAATATCTGCGCACTTCCTTTCCAGGATCCCTTTAGATATAAATTTGCACAACAGGAAAAACTTGTAGCCTTTCGTACTTACATAAAATCAACATGGCCTTTTACCACTGGTCCATCCTTCTTTCGAAAGAGGTTTAATGCGATGCATTAAACTTAAGATCAACCATATTTTCAAGTTATGTGCAGCAAAGCGGAACATAGTGGGGAATAAGTACTGAGCACACTCTTAGAAATTAAGCCACAAAAAGGAATTTTGTTAAGGATTACTAAAGAGAAACTAGTGCAATGCAATACTTCTGTGTAATTTTGACCTATTGTTAAACAAAATTGAACTAAATGAACTAAAATTGGACGTTGAAGGTCCAGAGCGCCTCCTCTGTGGGTTCTGATCTTCAGCTCTATCCATAAAGTCTTAATACTATTATAAAACAAAATACTGGCTGCACCATTTTAGTGAAACGTTCTTTTTAACCAAATAGGAATCGTCCCGCCTGTGTGATTAGGATGATTGTCTTGCTAAAAAATGGAAATCTAGATAAGTAATTTTGTCTTAAAATAAGTGCATTTCTTCTTGAATTGAGGAGGTAAAAGAGACATTTTGCTAATGGAACAAGACAATTTACATTTAAAAAAAGAAAACACAATTGCATTGTCTTATTTCAAGTGCATTTTATCTAATTATCTTATTTTAAGAGTAAAAATACTCATTCCATTGGCAAATTATCACGTTTATCTACTCAAATTAAGATTAAATACACTTAATTTAAGAAATTTTTACTTATTTCTAGATCGTTTTTCCAGTCTCATCTTCAGCTTCTTATCAATAATCTTGAAGCACGTTTTTCTGTTTAACTTCCATTCTGCTGTATAAAGACTTCAAAAGTAAATAGCTGAAAATTAGGGGCTTGATTTGATATTTATTTCCATTCCTATTAAAAACACGGTTCGTGCAATAGAAACCACGGAGTGAATGTTTGGGTCTCATCTTACCATCCTGCATGCTCCTGGTATTCTTTTAGCTTCTCCAGATGCTCTGCTGTGAAGTTTAAACAACCTCCAGCATGACTTTTCTTCAGCAGTGGAGTCTTGTGGAGTGAGCCACCTTAAAAGTCTATTCCATGTTGTCTTTCTGCAACAGCTCTACTTATTAATTTCAGATCTTTCTTAAGCTCTGTGCAAGTGGTTCTTGTTAGACAGCTCCTCTGTAATGTGTAATACTTTGGTAATGAGCACACACTGAATAGGACATCAATTAAAGCAGATATTATTTGTTACAGATAAAAAGGAGAGTGTTTATCGAAATGTCAACAGCTTCTAGTTTAGGTCAGTTTGCTGCACTTCAATTATTGGCTTGTGTGTTTGCCTTTTCGGTTGATTACTTAAGATCAAGAGAAGGTCATCTTAATAGCTATGTTATAAAAACATGTGTTCAGTACTTATTCCTTCTACTTTAAATTGGCTCCTCTTGTTTTTTTATTAATTTGTTTTATAATTCACACGTCTCTTTTTTTTCTTAATTCATCTTCTATTTTTAAGTAATTTTTAGGCAATTGGATCCATCTTCATTCTTAAACTCCCCTCAAAAACAGCATCTATGGTGTTTCTGCAATTTTATTGAATGCTGCAGGCAAACCATGAGAAGAGGAAAATTAAGCAAAGCACTGGTAGCTAAAACGTCTCATTGTCTTCGTTTTAATTGCACTCCAAGTTGATTTCCACTTGATTATTGTAAGACTCAAGACAATCAAAATTTGCACTAATTTGCACCAAATTGTAATCCTTTACTTGCAAGTAAACAAGTGGGACATTTTTTTCCAAACTATCACCAGCCTAAACGTGTCTTAAAACAGGTTTGTGTGTAAGATAAAAAGTAATAAAAAACAAACAAACATAGAATCACCTTTTATGTTTCTTTAAAAAAAAAAAAAAAGAAGAAAGTTCTCTTTTAACCAAAGCAAAAATCACATCGACTTGTTTGCATCTGAGGGGATGACTTGTGGTTTCTTTTTGGTTGAAACGGGTGTCATAAATGTGTTTGAGGGTTTTTTTTTTATTTGATGGGGTTAGCGGGTGTTGAGGCCAGCCCTGCTTCATAACAGAGATTCTGCTTCTTCTACTACTGCTACTATCAAACAACCAACCCTGGGCACAAAAACAGGTCAGGACACTGTTCCATATCTCCTATACGAGGCGTGTGAAGCTTTAAGCTTTGCACGCTGCACCAGCAACTTTGCACTGAAAACCCAAATTGATGTGGAGCACCAGCTTGTTTTTCGTTAAGTTCTGAACACTTTTGTTGATCCGTTTTCGGCCTAAAAGGATGTAAAGTCGAATCAGTTTGGGTTGAATGTGTTTTGTGGAGCTACACTGATAACAGCCATGACTATTTGTTTTTACATAGTTGGAGCAGTGTATAAGCTCGGTTTCTGTTGCCCAGGACAGCGAAACAACATGTTGATGTCTGCTGTATTTCAATAAAACACAGCCTTTTTCAAAGGGTACCCCTCCTGCCTCTCTGTCTTTGTGTGCCTGTTTTTAAGCATCTTAAACAGAAATCATTCAAATACTTTGTTGTCTTTTTGCTTTTCTTTCAAACATTACTGATATTGAAATGTAGCCTGCCTAAAAGTAATGATGTCTGGAAGGATTATAGATCCTTGAAAAGATTTTATTCCTAACTATTCCCTAGCATGTGTCCATTTATCAATCCTTGCAATCTGTTCTTCTATGCATCCATTCAATCCTCTCTATCCATCCATTTTCCTTGATGGTGACTATCTCCAGCTGTCTACGGGCAAGAGGCGGGGTACAGGACGCCAGTCCAACGCAGAGCAACGCAGAGACAAGCAGGACAAACAACCATTCACACACACACTCACAGGGAAGGAGAATTTAGAGTCAATCTAAGAATCATGTTTTTGGACTGTGGGAGGAAGCCAGAGTACCCTGAGAGAACCCACGCATACTCATGGAGAACATGCAAACTCCATGCAGAAAGACCCTGGGCCGGCAATTGAACCCGGAACCTTTTTGCATCCAGTTCTCATTAATTCTTCCATCCATCCCTCTAACTTTCCACCTAACCTGCCCCGTCAGTCTCTCTGTCTGTTTTTCAGACGACATCGATTCTGGACTGAAACTTGTTAAAAAGCAGGACAGAAATGTTAAATA